CCCAAGAATCCTAATTGGAATTGAACACACTTTGTAGAGTCCAACTCATGTTAAACACATCTTGTAGAGTACCACAAAATTTCAATTTTTACAAATGCCCCCTGCTTCAAGGCTTGTCAGAGTGTAGACTTGTTGAAATTCAAAGACGAGGCTTGAAGTACTTATTATTCCACCTTTGCGGTTTTGTGAAATCAAATTTGTGAGGGAAGAGATGAAGGACAAATTTGGTCCCATTGGGTGTGCCAATTTGTTTGCAACAAATTGTAAACACATGGAAAATAAATCAACCACACAAATAAAATCTAAAGAAACAAGAATATTTTATTGATAATAGTATGGGTGTTATTCTGTTCCTCCCTTGATTCTTTTTTCATAAGATTTATCCATGATTTGAGGGCCATTAGTGGCGTATTTCCCGGACTTGGATGATTTGGACTTGATTTCTATAAATCGAGGGTCGTTAGTGGCGTATTTCTCGAATTAGGATGATTTGGACTTGATCTTCTTAATTTGAGGGCCCCGTTAGTGGTGTATTTCTGAAACTAGGATGATTTGGACTGATCTTTGAGGGTCGTTAGCGACGTATTTCTCAAATTAAGACTATTTGGATTTGATCTAAAGATATTCCATGAATTTGAGGAATATTTGAGATTTTGATCTCGTTATGAATATTCCATGAATTTGTGGTGGAATTTTCGAGATGCCTTTTCAAGGGAATATAGTACCCTTTATATAGGCATGAACTAAGGTTTAGGGTTGAGTGGCCCAAAAATCCAAATTGAAATTGAACACACTTTGTAGAGTCCAACTCAAGTTAAACATGTCTTGTAGAATCACACAAAATTTCAATATCTACAGTATCACAAATGCAATTCAGGTTGTTGTTATTAAACGCGCAATTCCTTAACTAATCCAAATAATTAAGGCAACAATATGATCAATTACATCAATTTATGGAATTTACATTATTGATTTGATGTAGAATTAATTCTAAACGAGATACTAGTAACAATCTGTCCCTAGATAAATTCAAAAAACAAAATTTAGCGATTCTTACTTACCCCTTTGGCTTCATTTTCTTTTTGTTTGTTGGTGGTTGTGGATTGAAGTATCAAAGTTAGTCAACTATTCAAGTTCTGATTCAACATTTCGGAATCTAAAACACAGAGAACAACAATTACATAGATTATGTAATTGATGGTATCATGATATCTTTCTGATATATGATGTATCATGACACCTTTTTGAAATATTATATCATGATACATTTCTAATAGATGATATATCATGATAAATTTCTGATACATTACATAATGATACATTGATACATTTTCGATATATGATGTATCATGATACCTTTTTGAAATATTATACCATGATACATTTCTAATAGATGATATATCATGATACATCTCCAATACATTACATAATGATACATTGATACATTTTCAATACATGATGTATCATGATACCTTTTCGATATACAATATATCACAATACAGTGGATACATTAAAGTTATCACATATCTCTTTGATACTTTATGTACGGACGACTTCCCCTCATCAACAGTCTTGAAATTATGAGAAGAAATACGTGTTGATATACTTGCCGTTAATAAAAAAAAAATTTATCTAATATAAATATATAACCACAAAAAACACAAATTTAGAAAAATCTGTAATTTGAACTTGAACAAATTAAAAGTAAATTGTGCTAAATTGATGTCATCACGGTGTGATAGAGAAATACAGATAGCATAGGTAAGAGAAAGACGGAGGAAAAAATTAGTCAAATATAATTTCTAGTTATGCGTGAAATAAGAGATAGGATATAACCATATAAATTTGCTATTAAAATAATAAGTACCTTTGTTAGATAATAATTTTGAAGTAAAACTTTAAGAAATAAATATAAAACTTATGTTTACCTAATTGTATAGATTTTCCTTAATACAAACCTCCTAATGCATAGATAAGTAGATTGTTTAACGAGTTGACAAAGCCAGATACATGCTTTAAATCATTTAACTTGTCTTGAGCTTTGACAATTTAAGGAAAAAACGAGAATTGCCGGTATATATATATGCTGAGAAATATATTTACAAAAAGTAACAAAAAGTTTTTAGTTTACAAAACATATAAAAAAAAATCGCTCAAAATTGTGTATGAAATATGTATATCTCGATCAAGGGTTAGAATTTCCTCACATTTTTCGTATATGAAATCGATATAAAATATATATACACCTGCAAATTTGTTCTTTGTTCTTTGTTATTGTTGAATTTTGCATACATGTTTTGTACATATATGTTGGTTAATTATTATTTTTCGTTATAATTGAAATTCGTATGCATATAATATACATTTGTTTGCAATTTCCTAATAATTTTACATTCGTATATATTAGTCCGTATTCACCTAAGATTTGTTTGACCTAATAATTAATATTCATTGTCATATTCAATCAACAAATTATATCAGAATACAATGTATATTCGATAAACATAATTGTATCAATATATATATACCCTTAAGCTTTCAATTTGGAAATTTAATCATTTCAGAATGCTAATTAGAACCATGTGTTTTTTCTTGTGGAGATGCTAAATTCCCATCTTTATTTTGCGAATATTTCTTTAGTTTTTCTTGAAAAGCAAGAGAAAATTGTGTAGTAATTGCTTTAGGAGATTAAGTTACATAGATTCGTAAATATTCATTCCCTTTCAGGTCTGCCTATATTTGTATGGGTGGGATACAGAGATGGCTATCAAATGTTAATTATTTTAGGCTTCATTTTGCTAAATAAATATTTGATTAAAAACATGTTAATTTAATCAAGGAATTATACCTAATTAAAATTGTCATAATTAAAATATCCTATGACAATTTTCCATAAGTTGCCACTCTAATTAAAACCTCTTTGGAAAACGTCCAAACTCTATTCAAGTTCTTCATTTACGCTTTCTTTTCGAAAAGCATATTATAATAGAGTATATACCTGTCATTAATTCTAACATCAAAATTGGTGTGAAATCAATTCTAGTCTTAAACTTTAAACAATTAAAAAAGAAATAATTTACAAACCAATAATTACAACTTTTTTTTCCAATGCAAAGTATTATTTCACTGTATTTCTCTGTCTCTCATTATCTATTTCACTAATTTGTCATCAGTAGTGAGATTAAATCTGCCTCTTGAAGTTTTTTTAAGATCAATCCAATCGTTATCTAGAGTTTTTATGATGATTAGGAATAGGAAACAAAAATTTTAGGAATAGGGAACAAAAATTTTATTTTTTTTTTAAATAAAAAAAATGAAAACTTCTTCATAAAATTCTTCCATTGCTTCGAAACCTCAAACGCCTCTGAAATGACAAATCGACCCCTTTCTAGTAAATATATAACACTCCAGCTTTACATTTATTTATTTTTCGCTAGGAAAGAGTAATATTTTAGGGAAAAGGGTCACAAATACCCCTCAACTTTGGTTTATTGTTTGACTTTACCCTCGCCGTTAAAATGAAGTTAACTTTACCCCTCCCGTTACTAATTTCACCAAATTTACCCCTCAATTGACGGAAATCCCCAAATTGACTCAATTTAACCCAAATTTTAAAAAAAGATCCATTTCCCATTTTAAACCCAATGCCCGACCCGTCCAAAGTTGAGGGGTATTTTTGACTGCAATGAAAATCCCCATCCAAGATTGACAGTGGGTTTCCTCCATGACCACATTCAATAGAGGAAGTATATGAAGAAGATTAGAGAGATTTAGCACACTAGTGTGGTCGGAGCTTGGAGCTCGTTCAATCATCGGATTTTGCTTTCTTGCGGGCAGATTTGAAACTATGATATTGCTTGCTTGTTGAGCCTAGCCGGATATGAAATTGTGGCTGTTGTTTTCGAACCTTGATTCTCGCCTGATTGTGTTGTTGGTTTGATCTGTTAGCGGTGCTTCAGTTGTTTTCCGATGGGGTTTTGGTCGGGGTTTTGTTGGTTGGTTGTTTGGAGGTCGGAGAACTGGTGGTCTGGTGGTCATTTGTTGGTTGTTTTAGCTTGGGTGATGGAGGTCTGGGTTCTGGTGGGTTGAGGTGTGGTTTTACCACTGGATTTGGTATGGAGAGGGTGGTGTTTGAGAGTTGTTTCAGGTCAGTTTCACGGCTGTTTGAATGATTCCGACGGTGGGTGGTTTGCTTAATGTTGTTCCAGCTTGGAACTGGCCCAAAATGGAGAAGAAAGATCTTGTTGTCGTCACCGAAAAGTAGAGGAAAATGGGTTTGTTGTTAATGTTTTCTGCTTGATGTCGTTTCTGGTTTTTAGGGGTTTTGAGTAGTGGTTTCAAGTGGTCGTTTGGAGGTTGTTTTGGTGGTGTTTCACTGGAAAACGGAGAAAATGAATGGGGATTGCCGGAGCTTGATTTGGGGTTTTAATTTGGTATAAATGGGTCGGGTTCGGATTAAAAAGAGAAAAAATTGGGTTATTTAATTGAAATTGGGTAATTTTAGTTGATTTGGGGATTTCTATCAATTGAGGGGTAAATTTGGTGAAATTAGTAACGGAAGGGGTAAAAATAACTTCATTTTAACGGCGAGGGCGTAGTCAAACAATAAACCAAAGTTGAGGGGTATTTTGACCCTTTTCCCTAAAAAAAACTATTTGAAAATTTTACAAACAAACTTTCAAAAGAATTAAATACAAGGATAATATTGTCACGATCCAAAAATAGACGTGATGGCACTCGTCTTATCCCACCAAGACAAGTCAGCCTAAAACTCAACCCTAGTTGATTTGGGGATTTCTATCAATTGAGGGGTAAATTTGGTGAAATTAGTAACGGAAGGGGTAAAATTAACTTCATTTTAACGGCGAGGGTAAAGTCAAACAATAAACCAAAGTTGAGGGGGTATTTTTGACCCTTTTCCCAATATTTTAAGCTGAAACATTAATTAATTAATTAATTGAATAATAAAAAAATAGATTTTCATTACAGGTGAGTGAGTCAGCTCGCCGCTATGCTCGGCCACCACCACCGAAGCAGCAAAACCGATCGTTTCCTCCTCGATTACAACGCCGATGAACTACGAATCGCCGGTGAATTTCTATCTAACTGGTTCCCCTTTCTCTCCCTTGACTTCTGCAGCAGCTGTACGCATACGCTTTCCCGTCGTATCCGATTCCTCGGACGTGGTACTCTCTCTATTTCTACCTTTTTAATTAACTCTCTCTATTAATATTTATGGAATGTGCAATGTTCTTCGCTTGTTAACTGACTAACACAATGTGCATTCATTTCTCAGCTTTTGAGTTTTCCTCGCATCTTGGAGAAATGAAAAAATCGAAGAATTTTGATACCTTAACATGATTTTTCTGTTATTTTTTTGTACGGCTGTATCCAGCCAACTCGGGCTTGTTACCATCCACAAGCTCGAGCAGATAAGCTTACGCTGAAAGCTGTAGTTGGGATTAGACACACTCCTATTCGAGAACTAGATTTATGTAGTGAAATTTAGAACTAGTTTGGATCGACATATTTCAGGTGATTTTAAACCAAAATATGTTTGGGTAAAATAATAAAGTGTTTTAAGCACGAATTTTTTAATCAATATAACAAATATAAATAAAAAACAACCAGTTAGAATTCCTAACTTAAAACTTTTGCTCCTAAGAGTGTGGCTTAATGGTCAATGAAGTGGGTCGAGCACCATGAGGTCTCACAGAGTTATCTAGCATACCAGATGCTGGTGGGAGGTGGTAGATATCTTGTGGAACTAGTCGAGGGTATGTGCAAGCTGGTTTGGACACTACGGTTATCAAAAAGAAAAATCTATGACTTTTGACTTATGAGCCTTGCTGCCCTAATAAGTATCTTTGTAATCCTAGAGTGTTTTAGACAATGGGTGAAGTAGTTCAATATCTTTATAAATTCATCTTAGTGTTTTTATATACCAATGTGAGACATGATGATATAATATAATATACTTCTTTCTTATTAGGGACATTGATATATTATAATGTTTTCTTGCATGTGTATCCCTTTTTCAATTATGGAACATTAGTCTTTATATACTAACTAATGTTCACTATGATACTATATGGATGAATGTGAACATCTAATCAATGGACTTAACACAATATGTGGAGTAACCCAAGACTTTTTACAAACCATTTTGGATGTCCATCTGGGAAATTATATGACTCGGAATGTTGGTTCAACATAGTAATACATATAATTTGTTGGTAAGTTGTGAAAGCTAGAAGTTTTGTAGGTGGATAATGATGTGGCGTAGCAACTTGAGTTGTGGATTATGATAAAAAAGAAACTATAGATTCAGTGAGTTCTCTGATCAGAGAGTTCATTTGTATGACTGCAGAAGCTGTTGGTGATGCAGAACAACTGAAGCAACACGAGAATTTCACAGTTTTGACTCCAGAACTTCCTGATTCTAATGGCTGTAACGGAAATCTTGACAATTGTTACAGCAATTCACTTGGGAGTTGGCAAGATTGTGTTGTCTTAAATGGTACTGCAGATACAAACTCATTGGGTAGTTGGAAAGACGGTGCAGTTGTGCAAGGGCCTTCTGCTGAGGCATTGGCACGCAGGAATAAATCAGATAGTTATGTAGGTGGTGCAGATCGGTCACTTCTGAGTTTGAAAGGTTATGCTGACTTAAACGATACTGCAGATACAAACTCATTGGGTAGTTGGAAAGACGGTGCAGTTGTGCAAGGGCCTTCTGCTGAGGCATTGGCACGCAGGAATAAATCAGATAGTTATGTAGGTGGTGCAGATCGGTCACTTCTGAGTTTGAAAGGTTATGCTGACTTAAACGATACTGCAGATACAAACTCATTGGGTAGTTGGAAAGACGGTGCAGATGTGCAAGAGCCTTTTGATGAGGCATTGGCGCCCAGGAACAAATCAGTTAACTATGTAGGTGGTGCAGATCGCCCACTTGGGAGTTGGAAAGACTGTGCTGACTTAAATGATACTGCAGATACAAACTCATTGGGTAGTTGGAAAGACGGTGCAGATGTGCAAGAGCCTTTTGATGAGGCATTGGTGCCCAGGAACAAATCAGATAGTTATGTAGGTGTTGCAGATCGCTCACTTGGGAGTTGGAAAGATTGTGCCGACTTAAATGATACTGTAGATACAAACTCATTGGGTAGTTGGAAAGACGGTGCAGATGTGCAAGAGCCTTTTGATGAGGCATTGTCGCCCAGGAACAAATCAGATAATTATTCAGGTGGTGCAGATCACTCATCAAGACCTGTTAAAGAGACATCGAGAAGTAAAACTTTCCGTTCATCGAGACCTGCAGCAATCTGGACAATGAAAATGCCATTGGCAGATATGTCTCAGGAGGATGAGCTTGATGCTGAAGAGATTAGTGAGTCAAGTATCCGTAGTAGCCAGTTACGTAATGGAAATGGTGTGAACAAAGAGGAAACTTCTGTACAGGGGGCTAAGCCAAAAATGGAGTTGTCTAGGGAGCATAGAGAGCACATTCGGTTTTGTAATGTAAAGAGGAAAAAGGATTTCATTTGTTTGGAGAGGGTTAATGGGAAGATTGTGAATATACTTGATGGGTTGGAGCTACATACTAGTGTCTTCAGCATGGCTGAGCAAAATAGGATAGTTAAATTTGTGGAGAAACTTGAGGAGATGGGGAGGAGTGGACAGTTAAAAGGCTAGTATTTCCTTATTAATTATGCAAATCATTTTTCTTTTTGTTCTTTCAGATAAATGTTAGTGTCATATTTATTAGCTTTTTGATGAACCAGAGAAAACTTGCTTATGCTTCTTTCGATTTGAGATAGATATGAATATGACTAGTTGTTTTTCTTGTTAAACCTTAGAAAGTGTTCCTGATTGAAAAGATACCAGATAAGGTAATCCAGAATGTCGTTGAGCATGAGATATGGGAAACAAAGTCAAATAAGATTTGAGGCATAAATTTTAGGAAGACTTCAACTGTGTGGTTACCTTATTAAGGATCATGAATTTGCATAAATGATTTATGCTACACCTCAAATTTCATTTCTGAATCTTAATTCACTTCTGGTGGTTTATCATTATGATTTAAGTTTTTTTTTTTTCCCTCTTCAATTAGTTTGATGAGGTTAATATTTTTCCTTGATGGTTTGTGGAAAGTAAATTTTTTTTCTACTGCCTCCTTATGTTTCCATACCCGTATCTGTACTTCATTTATTAACCTCATGCACTAGCATGCTCTAACCTGCTTGCTTTGATTCTTTTAGAGCGAACTTATACAGCGCCACAGAAATGGATGAGGGGCAAGGGACGTGTGACAATCCAATTTGGTTGTTGTTACAACTATGCAACAGTAAGTCTTTGACATTCTTGAAATTATCCTAATCTCTTCCTCCCCCACCCACAGCCCCAAGTGGGAGGAGAGAAAAGAGGATAGGCTCAGAATCATAGGCTATATGCTTTAGATTTTAGACCATCTCCAGAGAAAACTTTTTTCCTTCTATTTCTTACCTTATTAAACAAGGCTGTGACTGATATGAGTCGATCATTGAAAAAAAGGGAATGTAGAGATATGATGATAATTGAATTTTTTTTACGGCAGGACAAGAAAGGCAACTCGCCAGGGATTCTCAAGAGTGTAACTGTTGACCCATTGCCTGATCTTCTTAAGAACATGATTAGAAGGCTTGTAAAATGGCATGTATTGCCTCCAGATTGTGTTCCAGACAGCTGTGTTGTCAATATTTATGATGTGGGAGATTGCATACCACCTCATATCGACAGTAATGATTTTGTTCGTCCATTTTGTACTGTTTCTTTCCTCAGCGAGTGCAATATAGTTCTTGGATCAAACTTGAAAACTGTAGGTCCGGGTGACTTTGCTGGTGCAATTGCAATTCCCTTGCCAATGGGGTAAGTCTTCTGAGTTTTACCTATGTCCTTGCAAGATTTCAAAGACTATTAATTGTGATAACTTTCCTCCAGGTCTGTACTCGTCTTGAATGGGAATGGAGCTGATGTGGCTAAACATTGTGTGCCAGCTGTTCCTACTAAAAGGTATATTCTGAAAGTGTGGAACTTCAATTTCGAGTTTTTGGTTAATCTTCTGTCAACTATTTACTTAAAGACGTCAACATCTCATTAACCTTTACAATGCACAGAATATCAATTACATTTAGGAGAATGAATAAATCTAGAAGACCAATTGGATGTGCTCCTGAGCAGGATCTACTAGGTCTTCAGCCTTTATCCCATGAAGCAGATAGATATGAGAAATCAAAAACCTATAAACCATGGCATTCAAAGCAGTTGACAAGGACCTGAAAACAGGTGGGAAGACGAGAAGAGAATAAGGAAATAGTAAAGATATCATTCAAAGCCATATTACATAAATCGAAATTGACAAGGACCTGTAAATAGGGGAAGTGTCAGGGTTTAAATAGATGATTAGACGCATGTCGTGACTATGCAGGTTGGTCCATCATCTTCTGCAATTATGGAAACTGTTGGTATTGTTGTGTTCTCATTTTATCTTTTAAACCTGGAGATGGACGGATGGATGGATCTGCTTTAGGCTCGATATGTGATCTTGAGTTTCCATGCTAATTTGCAGCTTGGAGAAATATTGGTGGAAATTGATCTCATTCGTACTTTAAAATTGCAACTTGGGTGAGAAAAGTCAACCTTGATTACTTTTGATTGTGTTCAATTCCATATGATGTAATTCTACTAGCAGAAATGAGAGTTATACGCGTATACTATGTGGAAAAGGACCAAGTGAAATGCACAAATGATAATTTTTGGGTTAACATTTCAGTTATCTGAAGTGTCTACTTTTGAGCCTAAGGTTCTTTCGGAAATAGCCTCTCGAGGTAGGGTGTGTGTGTCTCTGTGATGTTCGTGTGAGAATTTTTTTTACATTATGGTGAAGAGACAAACACAAATTAGATAGTATGTTAGTCCTCCCCAATCGGAGACATAAAATAATGAATATCCCTTTCCAAATGAAACATATTCAAGCAACATTCCCTACTTGTATCAGATTAATGAAGTACCGAATCTTCCTATTGATATTCTCAACATTTTTCAAATATAGTTGCATTTAAAACACTGTAATTTTGTTGAAGCAAATTCCCAAAGATACAAAAAAACATGGAATTTGAGAGATGAATTATTTCACTTGACAACAAATTATTCTGAATGGTCCAAATGAAATATGAACCAAAACTTACAGAGTCAATGTAATATCAATCACAACACCTCAGTTCTTGGTGTCTTGGCAGAAAACCACAACAGCAAAAAAAAAAAAAAATTAAAAAAGTAAAGGTTCCTTTTTCTTTAGGATTAGTCAATCCTTTCTGTTGAAGCTGCAAATTCCTCCTCAACTCCTACAAATTCATCGTCACTATTGTACACAAACTTGGTGCGTTTGCCAGCAAATTTCTGTCCTCCATTAACATTCATACTGCTAATTGCTTCACATAGCTCATCAATTTCTTTTTCTTCTTCTTCGTCTTCTTGGTGTGTGAAACCAACAGATGATTCTGATTTGTCACAAAAATCCAGCAGTAGAGATCTTGTAACACTCATCTCACTTTCAACACTCTCTTGCTTCGTCTTTCCCTCATACACAATCTTATTCAATATCTACAACACACATAGAATGTTAGCAATTCTTTTTCCCTTTAAAAAAAAAATGCCCTTTTTAACCACAATTTGAAAAAATTAATCTACCTGAGATATGACAAACTTGTCTTCCACTGGGGATGCGGTGACAGGTGGCAGCAATTCATTGGCAGAGAGATCCATAAGAGGAGTATTTGCAGGAGTTGGGGCAACAAGACCTTCAACATGAAAGATATTAGTCCTTTTCCCCAATGAGATTTCAGCTTCTTCTTCAACCATTTGCAATAAATTCTTCACTTGTCCTCTCAACAATGCTTCCCCTGAACCAGGAGTAGAACATTTTCTTCCTTGAGTACTCCTAGACACTGCAGATGATGGGGTTTTCAAAATCCCAGTAGCTAGGCCAACAATTGGTGACCCATTTGTAATATCAAAAAGAGCTGATTTCTTCGTCATTTCCTTCTTTTCAGATTCTTTAATTGCAATGAGTTTTGACGTTGTTGTTGATGATGGAATCTCCATTGTTTCGATCAAGAAAAATGAAAGAATATTGCGGAGCGTTAACAGAGAAAGGTATCGTAATTGGGGGATTTTGCTGATATATTTATTTATAGGATAAAAGGGGCAAAAAATACGACCGTTAATAGCAATACTACAGAACTAGCCGTTGGGACCGGAAGGGGGCTGCTAAAAAGTCTACAAGCTTCTTAGGCCCAAGTTGTTATGTTGGCTTTTGCAGGGGTCAATAGGAGAAACTATTTAATAAGTATAAATTTTAGGAATCACATAATTTGGCTTAAGTTATATACAATCTCTTAAAGTTGTCCGCATATTTCATTTGAACACCTTAACATATCTTTGTTCCTATTGAACACCTTATTTATTGAAAAGTCATTCCTATTTGACACAAAATGCTGACATGACAAAAACGTCTATTTCACTCTCTTTTAAGCACGTAGAACTGCTGAAAATAATTTCGTTTTCTTTTTTTCCTTTAACTTATATACCTAAATTAATAAAAAAGGGAATTTTTTTAAAAAAAAAAAAAAGAGTGAAACAAACGTAGAACTTTCAACTTCTTTATCTTTAGTTGTAACACTTTTCCGGCTCCACCAATTTCCAGCGACTTCGCCGCCGTTGCTCCTATTGCCATCCACCTTCTCTTCTGTCTCTTTTCTTTAACCACCCCTCCCTCCCAATGGCGGAGCCAGAAATTTTACAAATGGTGTCCAGAAATAGTAATTTGTTATGTTAAGGGTGTCCAAAATATGTTATGTAAACATTTTGTGTATTATTTTACTTATATATATGGTCTTTTTTTCCGATGAAGGGTGTCCAACCCTTACCACCATGTGGCTACGCCACTGCTCCCTTCCCCTTAGCACCATCGTTTTCTAGCGAAATTTTATTTTTTCCAACAAGGTTTGATCTCAACATATACTTATGTCAATATAATCCAACAATAAAGAATCACATCAATTAATTAAAATTGCTAGTTAAAATTAAATGAAGAGTTCTTCAACTTAAAAAAACATCAGTTATGGAATACAAAAAAATATTTGCCGCAACTCCATTTTTTCCGGCTATGGTGATAGAAATTCATAATCTTCCGACGAAATCTTATTCATTTTCCTGTACCAATAGATGGAGAGAAAAATTTTACAGTTGAAAAATAGATTGAGGGAGGGATTGTCTTGTGGAGTGTTGGGAATGTTACGGTTGTGGGATTCACTGGAGAGGAAAAGGTGGGGTTGGGTGGGTGGGTTTTTCAGATTTTTTTTTTTATAATTTTTTTAGTTAGTTAAATAGGTTAAAATAGTGGTTTTTTAGAATATCATTTTTTTAATATTTTTTTTGATTTAAATGCCACATATCATCATTTAATTCATCAATTTGTCATGTCATAGCAGCGAGCGTAGCACACACATCTCATATTTTGGTAGATTGTCAAAAAAATGTTAAATAGGCATCAATTTTAAGGGGCATAGGTGTTCAACAAGTACAAGCATTAGTTGAGGTGTTTAAACGAATTATGCGGACAACTTTAAAGGGCTACAAATGACTTAAGCCTAGTTTTAATATGAAATTACAATTTATCCCTATTTAGTTTGTAATTACATTAATCCTGAAAAAGTCAAACAAACCGGATACATAATATGTAGCTCGAATACATTAAAAACTAGTTCGAATACATTATAAAATAAACTGGATACATTAAAAACTAGCTTGGATACATTATAAAATAATTTAGAATTAGGAGAGAAATAAGGGATTTTAGAAGTTTTTAGAAATAGAAGAGAATATTAAAAATAAGGGAAACATAAAACGTGTATTTCAGTAATTTTTCCATTTAATTACACTAGGGGGACTTTCACATGTAGCCACTCAAAATAGCTTAATTACGCTCCATAGTTATAATTTGTTAATTATAATTCGTAGCTACATATTATAAGAAGGAGAGTAGTGAGCGAGATTGGGAGAGGAAGCAGAGAGGCGAGCGAGAGGGACAGAGAGTGGAGAGAGGCGAATTGTATATGTATATTTGTCGAATTGTATATGTATATATGTAACTAATATACATATGTATTTGTATATCTGACGAGGGAGATTGGGAGATGAAGGAGAAAGGCGAGATAGATTGGGAGAGGGAGAAGAGAGGGCAGAGAGTGAAGAGGGGCGAACTGTATATGTATATCTGTCAGATAATTGTGTGTGTGTGTATATATATATATATACATATGTATTTGTATATTTGGCGAGAGAGATTGGGAGAGGGAGGAGACAAGCGAGGAGATTGGGAGAGAGAGGAGAGAGGCGAGCGAGACAGGTCTGAGAGTGGAGAGAGACTAATTGTATTTGTATATATGTATATAATTGTATACTCCCTCCGTTTCACAAAGAATGACCTCATTTCCTTTTTAGTTAGTTTCAAAAAAATGACCTCTTTCCTTTTTTGGTAACATTTTACTTTTTGCTTTCCACGTGACATGTTTAAGACCACAAAATTAAGGGCAATTTTGTACATTTGACATAACTTTAATTTAGGACCACAAGATTCAAAAGTCTTCTTTAATTTCTTAAACTTTGTGCCAAGTCAAACCAGATCAATCTTTTTGAAACAGAGGGAGTATATATATATGTGTATAATTTATTTTGTATATGTATAAACGAGGACAAGTGACGTAATTAAAGATAAAATTAAGTTGCAAGCCGTAATTACTTCAACTTATAATTATATTAGCTAATTAACTAATATATATTTACTTTTCTGCGTAATTTTTCCAAACTATAATTTGCGTTGGACCAGCCTTTTCATAATCTAGCAATTATCTCCGCATAGTGATGTAGCCTCCTTTCTTCAATCGTTGTTTCCTTCGTCTTCTATATAAATGTTTTTAATATTTATTTTTCAAAGATTAAAAAATAAATTTAAAAATCTCAACTTATTTTTCAACAAAATGATTTCTCAAAAAAATAAATCCTCGTTCATATCAAATACTCCCGCACTCCATCTTAATTTATGTGATACATTTCAGATATCGAGATTCAAATAAGTCTATCTTTAATAGTAAATTATTATTTATCTTTTAAATATTTTAAATTGTCAATTGTTGTGACTTATAATATTTTTTACATAATTTAGAAATATATAAATTTTATTTAAGAAATTAAAATTTTCAAAAATAAATTTTGAATCAAATTTAAATTATTTGACTCTCGAAACATGAGAATATCACATGAATTGAAACGGAGAGAACATAGAGTACACCTTAGATTGAAAATATTTTCTATATATACATATAACCGCTTTCCATATTGTCATGTCAAATCAGAACACTCCTCCCTCCACTGTGCGGACTCCATTTCTACAATGATTTCTTCCTCTTTCCATCAATCTCCACTGCCGACGCCGGCCAATACGTTTACCTCCGGCGACAACTCTATGCTATCACCGTCGTGCGTCAGATTCCGGCAATCTGGTTCATTCTCCGTTGCTGCGACCAGCTACACTTCTGTGGCCACCTGCGTCCCAGTTTCTGCTTCTCCTGCTTCGTTTTACGAAATTCTCGGAATTTCGATCGGCGCAACGATCGAGGAGATCAAGGCTGCGTACCGGAGATTAGTTAGAGTTTACCATCCTGATGTGGCTGCAATTGATCAGAAGGACTCCTATACGGATGAGTTCATGAAGAT